TTACTCGGTCGGGTATGCTCCGAGGACGAAAAGATTTAACTACTGCCAACAAAATCCGACCGAGTACACTCCCTTACCCGATCGGGTAGTCGGGATTACTCCAGAAATTTTAAACACGAGCAGTCATCTTCGCCAACCCCATTCATGAATCAACGACCAAAAATAAAATCCCCAAACCTCCATAGCTAGCTCCAACTTCTCTCATCCAATTACTTCCTCAACCCTTCACCAAATTCCTCCAAACCACCACCAAAAGCACCCATCATCTTCCTCTACAATCTCAACCCCATAAAACTCACCCTCGTGCCAAAAAAGAAAAAAGAAAATTAGCCCACACCCCAAGTTCGAATTTTGAGCTCAAAGAAACTACAATGACACCAAAGAGGTCAAAACCAAAGCATCATCATCATGAACGTCTCCACCTACGGTCTCGGACTTCGAGGACGTCACTTTCAACTCCGCCGATCATCGGGCTAAGTTTGTGGCCCAAACGCAATGAGAGGAGACGAAGGCTACTATGGCTGGCATCCCGATTCTGATGGAGGCGAGCACTAGGGAGTGATTTGAGCTAAGCAAGGGGGAGACCACTACTCGTAGTACCTTTATATTTTTTTACACCTTGTTACTTGTATTTTCTTTATAAAAAGAAAAAAAGTGCTCGTTAGGTTAAAAACCCAAATGGGCAATCTAAGCAATAAAAGCAAAAAAAAGAGTGAGTAGGGGAGAAAAGGAAAAAAAGGAGAGAAGTTGAGGATGAACAAATGAAAAGGCTCCTAGGCAAAATGATAAAAATGAGAGAAATTGTTTTTATAGGGATTTGACGATACAATGAATTTCATTATTTGTGGTTGCGTAAATTTCACACTTTTGTTGTAATTAGTTTATTTTCCTAGATAGATGTAATTTGTTTGGATTAGGACTATTCTGAGCTTAAAATAGGTCAAGATCATCCAAAGGACCAAGATTGGACCCTAAAAGATCAAGGAAAGTGCAAGGGGATAAGATAAAAAAAGAAGATTGAAAAAAATATTTCATATACCTGTTCGAATAGAGGCAATACCCGATTGGGTATTGAGTTGATTTGGGTGTCAAAATAAGAATTAGGAGAGACAACAAAATGTGCAAGATTTTGAAGAATTGGCTCATACCCAACCGGGTATGCCGACATACCCGACTGGGTATGTCCAGAAAAGTGACTTTCTGCAAAACTGCCTAAAATACCCGATCGGGTACCCTATATACCCGGTCGGGTACCAAGTCCTGCCACCTCCAAACACCTATAAATACACCCTTTTTCCTTCCCAATAAAATCATCTATACTCATATACTTTTAAGCTCAGTTTAGACAAATATTTTCTTTATATTTTTTAGTATGTTCTCCAAATGAGGAACTAAACCCTTCCATCTTGGTTTTGCGACATTGAAGCTTATTGATTTGTAAGTTATGAGTTATTTTATTTAATCATCTTCCTTGAATATTAATTACATTCCTATTTTATATTCCATATTAATATTTTGAGCAATACTTAAATGATCAATTAGTTTTGTTTCATATATTAATTTATTACTAGAATCAATCGATTAATACGCTTGTTATTCATTCAATCCTTTAAACGGTAGCAAACTTGGATTATTAATGCATGCGCATCATGGTTAATAATCTAAGTGGAGTTAATTATATTGATTACACCAATAAACCGCTTATGTTGAGGTTATCGATGTCAATCAATTTCATCTTAAGTTTTATTACTACTACCGGGTCAATATACGACACATGTTCTATATTCACTTAATAGTAAGTTTTATTAATGAACGCGTCTCGTTAGTAATAACTACCCTCGATGAATCGGAGATACTCCACGGTTGAGTATTCGAGAGGAAGATAGTTAAAGATATAACCGGTATCGATGAACATTTCATTAAGTGGATATAAGCAAAACCAGGTCTCCATCTCTATAAATTAAACTCATATAAATCGTTTATCTTCATATTTCATTAATTAAAATCAAACAAACCTAAAAAATTCATTGCTACTATTTAATTAAAAGAGAAATATTCCTTTCCCCACGATACGAACATTACTACGATATACTACGGTATTAGTGTGAGTATTATATTTATTTTGAGGCACACAACGACTATAGTGCCATCAAATTTGGCACCGTTGCCGGGAGTAGACAATAACTTTTGTTTTTGTTTTATTTCAAGAAAAAAAAATAAATAATAAAATTTTAAAGAGTTCTTACTTTTCTATTTTCTGAGCTTTGTGAGGACAAAGTGCGCGTAAAAGGCTAGTGGCGGTTTGTGAGGACAGTACTAGAGGTCAGAAGTAACTACCTCGGGGCCTACGGGGCCAGGGTGTTACAAATGGTATCAGAGCAGCCCTATGACAGTGTGCTGATCCGTTGGATATCGGGCGGGCACTTAGCAGGGGAAAAGATTCTGGGATATGATTGAGATTGGTTTATGGGCACAACGAGGACGTTGCGTTCCTAAGTGGGGGTGATTATAATACCTGAGATTTAATTTAAACGGATTAATAGTACTACTCATACCAACTAGGTACATCTTCTTTTAAGGGAGCTCATCACCCAAGAACTCCAAAATTAAGCGTGCTTGCACGGGAGTGGTCTTGGGATGGGTGACCCCTCTGGGAAGTTTCTCAGGGCACGCATGAGTGTGGACAAAGTGCGCGTAAAAGGTTAGTGACGGTTTGTGAGGACAGTACTAGAGGTCTGGAAGGTGTGTAAGAGTAACTACCTCGGGCCTTACGGGGCGGGGGTGTTACAAAGGTGATTCCAGGCTAAAATTAAACATCTTCTTTCATCAAAGATCATTACTTGGTAAGTTTTTATACTATACATGAAATGTTTCTTCCATGGTTTGAGCTATGGTTCTTCTTTTTGGTTTAAGCTAGGGTTGATTGATTTTAGGTTGATTCTTAGAAACTTAATGGATTTTCTTGATAATAAGGTCGTTATGGAGTTGTTATTCATCCTTGATTAAAAACCTTATAGGAATTAAGAGTCTAGTTACCCCGGAACTTTTTCCGATTTGTTATAAGTGATTGAGAGTTTTCTTACTCTTTAAAGAACTGATTTTTAGTAGATATATACCTATAGTTCTTGTTATTAATGATTAGTTGAGTTATTGATTCTTGTGTTAAGATTTTCAAACGATTCTTGGGTATTTAGCTACCCCGGAGCTATGTCGGTTGATTGAAGGAAGTTGAGAGTTTTCTCATTTCTAGGGGGCTGATTATGTAGAATCTCCCTTCATCCCTAAGTCTTAAGGTTTTGTCTAAAAACATGAGATTATTTTGATCAAATGTAAATAATGTATATAGTTGCTCAATCGAAGAACCGTTGCTCGTGGACGCTTTATACGCACGATCAAGGGTAAAAACTCCATGTGAATCAGGTAAGTCATCCCCACCTATACATGATAGTTTGAAATGAAACATGGAAGTCTAGCTACCAATGAATTGGATAGGTTTGCTTGAATGCTTGAATTTGTATGGTATGAGATTATGTGAATGCCCTGTTATGTGTATATATTTATAGGTGATGTTGATTGAGAACTTGTTAAGTTATCAATGTAAGGTATCCAAGTTCTATGGTTAATGTTAGGTTGGATTTATATGGACTCCAAGAATGAATGAAAGTTGTGATGGTAATGATATCTAATGAATGATAACATATGTTCTAAGGTAGCCATTGCCCCAAGTAATTACCTGAGCTGAGCGTAGTGGGGTGTCCTTCCGTGGGGAGTCCCGAGGTTACTTTTGATGACTGAGGGCTAGCTACCCGAGGTTATTGGTGAGGGGCCAGTACACGAGCTACGGGCCCATCAAGTCAAGTTATGAGATAAGAAGAAAGAATGAGGAATGAGGAAATCTTTTAGATTTCGTTACATGATGTTTGGTTTTACATGATATGAATATGTGTGTGAATATGCTTTGTGTAAGGAGTATTCTAGCTTATGTATCTAGTTATGGCTAGCTAAGACTCCGTTATTTTAGTGGATGTAATGGTGACTTACTAAACAAATTTTGCTTACGAGACTTCTGTTCTCTCGTGTTCTCATGTATAGGTAATGAATGAAGAATGGAAGCCTGAGAGAATGTTCAGGTCGGGTGGCGAGGCCGTGGATGGGTTAACGGAAACGACCTGGCTGTGTCTCATGTTTTTTTGTTGTACCATGATACTTTTATGAGTTGTATCATGTTTTGTTTTAAAAATCTTGATCAGGTGTGATGACTTTGTTTTAAGCGTGGTTGTTGTTGGTCTTTTGACATTTTAGTTATGAAATTTTCTTATGTATATAAGAAATAAAGTTTCATGACGAGACTTTGTATCTTTAATATTCCGCTTTGTATATTGAGTCTTGTTTATGTTGAGTATGGTAATGGCCGTTTGGGGACGGTCGCTACAGTTTGGTATCAGAACCCAGGTCCTTCTGTAGCTCCATCCATTGCCACATACCGCTTGACATCTCTCACGTAAGTTAGTAGGGTTTGGTTATATAAGGATAACCACAACTTTTCACAAGTAAAGTAATTACAAATGTTGGATATATATATATATATGTGTGTGTGTGTGTTGTTATATTAGTTGTTAAATTAACTCTCTGGCACAGAATTTCACGAGAAGGTCAATGTAACAAGGGTGGTTCATCAATTAGTAATGCGGAGCTGGCTCGTGTTGTAGCGGAACTCCGAAGGCAAATTCATGATCAAAACATCCTCATTACGTGTCTAACGGCCGAGGCAGGAAGCCAAAACAACAATAATAATAATAAACAACATGAGAATGAGCATCATGACGATGGGGGGAGAGATGATCATTAGGGTACTGGATGGAATGAAGTGGTCTGCCGAGAGCTACTATTGATCATATGTAAGAAGGCACATCCGGAAGACTTTGAGGGTGGGGCTGACCCCCTCAAAGCTCGAGACTGGTTGAAGAATGTGGAGAGCTTAGCTGAAGGACTCGAGTTGAGGGATAACGAGAAGGTCAGGTGTGCATCCTACAACTTAACGATGAGTGCGAGGACCTGGTGGGAGACAGTGAAACAGAGAGTCAATACCGCTACCATGACATGGGACCAATTTTCCAGGGAATTCAATGAGAAATATTTGAACCCTAGCAGGATGACCAGATATTGGGATGAGCTCCATGACTTCACACAGGAGTCGATGGATGTGTTGGTGCTAGCAGTGAAACTTACAGATCTCTTACAACTATGCCCCACCGTAGCTCCCACCGAAGCAGATAAGACCCGAATATTTCTGAAGGCATTGAGGCCAGAGATAGTTGTCCATGTCAGGAGGGGCAACACGACTCCTGACACATTGACGGAGTGTGTTAACATTGCTACTCAAGTGGAATACTATGTGCCAGCCAAACAGCCAAGTGTGGAATTAATGGAGCTATCACGAAAGCAGCGAAGAGGATCTCAATCCCTACCTTCTTCTCATCTTGGTATTTCCTCTTAATTTATATTTGTTTTATATATTTTTATCTTTTTAAATTGGATCTCTTTTTGTTTTTGGTCTAATTATTCTCTTCCTAAATAATCTACTTTCAATTTTCTCTTACAATTGCTATGTATATATCGGCATCTTACTTTTGAATTGTGAAACTACAATTGATTTTGTAGTTATGCCGTTGAAGACCACGATGCATAAGATACCTTACATTTTGATTTTGGAAATAAAATGTTGTGGCTTAAAATTTTCTCAAAGCAAAAAGTTCACTTGCTTAGGGATTAGATTTACAAATGAAGAGTAATTACAGATGGAGAGAAACTATGATTTACAAAAAGAGAGTTCAAAGACCATAATTTGTGCCTATGAGAATTATAAACGCAAAGAAGTTAAAATTCATACTTTATTTGTTCACATATTGCAGTTGCTTATATGTTCTGTATTCTTTGGATGGATACACATCTTATACAATTCAACTTTTTAGTGAGTAAAATTAATACTTTGTTAGCACACGGTTGTACCATGTTTTGTAATCATCCAACAATATTTGTGACCTTTTTTGCTGTTCTAGAGCAAATTTTTTCTACTTTTTAGTTGGTTATTTTTAATCTTTTGTATACAGCAGAATACTTTGCACCAGCTGAACAAATATACACAAATATTCTTTTTAGATTGTTTTTTTGAGGTATTGTGACATACTTATCTTATTCTTTAGGTATGGAATGCGGTGATGAATGGGAAAAGTTGGGTTTCTCTTGAGAGTCAAGGAATAAATGGGGTTGCTTGAACAAATATGCTGGACATTGCGAAAATCTTCTACACCATCGCTCATTGTCCTCACTAGACTACTAGAGGTAGAGTTGTCTAATGAGCCCCATGTGGTAGGAGATATAATATGTTGATAGGAATAGAATAATAAATGACAAGGCTCAATTTTATTAACAAGTTTTGAATTGTGTCTTCTGAAGTGCTAGTTTTAAATGTTTGAATGTACTTATGATGTTCTAAAAGTAAAGTTTCCAATATCCCAAGAGATTAATCTTTATCTATTTTCGATTCAAATAAAATGAATGTGCTGTTTTTTTTGTTCATAATTTTATAAGAAAATGAGAAGTAGAAGGTCAAAGAAGTGGAGAAGAAATAGATGGGACACAATGGGCATATAGAGCATGTAGTAGTATATAATGAATTTACAAGACGAAATTATTATTAAATTAATAAAATAGTGTTTAAATTTAAAATTTTGTAATACTCTTGAATTTATATCGTCGCATTTTGTAAAATGATTTTCTTAGGGATGTCATATTACAATAAATTTTCTACAACCAGAATATCATGTGAATAGCAAAACTAAACGTAATGCAGAGTATATGTTCAACACTTATTAGAGGGTAAATCGGTCATTTAATATAATTCAGAGTACTCATTCAACATTCATAGTAAACAACTTGGTATCACAGTGTCAATTAATCCAGACAGACGTCTTAACACAGACATACATCTTAATCCAGACAGGACTTAATGAAAAAAAAGTAAACAACCCCTAAGATCAAGTCATGGGCAGTCCATAAGGATGACCTAAAGTAATTTTTATATATATTACAAATTACGTATGTGTCAATACTTCGCATATTATATCCTACACTCGCGCGTACATGTGCACCCGATTTTTTTGTAATTGATTGCAAGTTTGATGATAATTAATAGGCTAATGCTCCACTCTTCCTTTTTTTTTCCGCCGATGCTTATGGGCACTCTCCAAGCCTTCCTTCACTCCTAGGTGGCCTGGCTATTCTCCTTTCTTTTCTTTTCTTTGTTTATTCTTCTTTTTTTTTTTGTTTTTTGTTCTCCTTTTTTGTCAACCTTCTACTTTAATGTTATATTTAATTATTATGAAAATGAAAATGCATGTGTAATATAAAATATTATTAAATGTTTCTTTTATATTTTAGATTCATGTTGGAGTTGATTATAGATATAGGAGCACAAAGCATGATACTCGATTGGATGTTTTCAATACTCAATAGAGAAGATTTGATGCTCAATAAAAATGTCTTGAAGTTCAACTAAAAAAACTTATGATTTTCATATCAATACTCATTTTGTAAGTTACGTTTTTTCTATTTATACTCATATTATGCTCATTTTAAAATGTCATATTCATGCAAATTTTAAAAGTTGCATATGACATTAGATTCACAATGTTAGGTTTCTAGTACTCAACTAAATAAGTGTGATGCAGAATTAAAGTCCATTAGTGCTCATTTAACATAACTGTGATTTTCACCTCAATAAAGAAGGTTTGGTGTTCAATGAAAATGTCATTATGTCAAACTAACAAACCTTACGATTTTCATATCAATGAACATTTTGTAAGTTACGTATGCTCACCTGGCACTGATCTTATGCTCATTTTCTAAGTGTCATATCAATGCATTTTTTTAAAGTACTACTCCCTCCGTTCTTTTTTAGTTGCAACGGTCAACATTTAACATTTGTCAACGCATGTCTTTGACCGTAATTATATCTTAATTCTATTAGTTAAAAAATACTAAAAATCAGATTTTGAAAATTTGTAATGAGATGAATTGAACAATATTTTTTTTTAAAAATAATTTTCATAAAATAATAGCGTAAAATGTAGTCAAAGTAGAGCATGTGAATAGTGTAAAATTCAACATGTTGCGATTAAAACGGAACGGAGGATAGTATTTTACATTAGATTCATGTATTGAAATTCATAGGAGTTAATTATAAGTATAATTTAATAAGTTTTATAAAAGAAAAAAGAGCAAAAAAAGTGAATTAAAAGTTATGAAGCAGAGATCACCATGTTGAGTATTAGACTCCTAATACTCAACATAATAGGTGTGATGCTCATTAAGAGTTCATTAGTGCTCATTCACCGGAAATGGTGATTTTCATCTCAATAGCTGAGGTTTAATGCTCAATTAAAATGTCGTGACGTTCAACTAACAAACGTTACGCTTTTCATATCAATGTGCATTTTGTAAGTTATGTATGCTCATTTGGTACTGATGTTATACTCATTTTTAAAATGTCATATCAATGCATATTTCAAAACTCAAAAAGTATCATATTACATTAGACTCACATATTCAAATTAATAGGAGTGAATTATAGATATAATTTAATAAGTTTTTATAAAAGAAAAAATAAGAAAAAGAAAAATGCTCACTAAAAGTACACTATTGCTCATTTAGCAGAATCCGTGATTTTTCGCTTAAATTACAAAAATGCTACCGATTTTTATTTTGGCCTGTATCAGGTATTGGACTGTCTTTCCCTAGTTGGGCCGGGTGTACGTACACCGGATGTACCATATAGGCACCCTCAATACTTGGCATTTAAAAAACTGAAAATGGAAACAAAAAGGAAACATATATCCGTGAGATAAAAAAGTACTAGAAGAGAAGTGATTTTTGATAAATGATAATATATGTTGACAAGGGATATGATGATCAAGTCCAAAGATGCTCCGTATATCATATGCATGCATGGTGATTGGTGAAAGATGAGAAGAAAACAGAGGTTGATATGAGGTTTGCGGTGGTTGAATTGAGATGAGGCTGGCGGCGGCCATTTGTGAAACATGCGACGGCTGTGGAATAAATAAATAAATGGAAGACCATAGAAAAGTAACTAATAGATTACGTAGCGTGCCTAACGAATGTTTTATCCCACACCGTTTAGGCAGAGAGAATGCGGGCCTCCAGAAGGCTATAAGAGGAGCGGCTCATCCATCATCAAAGGCATACCTTTCTCGGCCTTTTGGCTAAGATCAAGTGTAGTATCTGTTCTTATCAGTTTAATATCTGATATGTGGGCTATTAGCCCACACGATATTAACTCAATTTTTTAAGGGGGAAGGCCCGCTAAGGCAGCTTGCTGTCTGGGACTTCGGGCGTCGCCTTGGCGTTGCACTGCTGCCATGGCCCGGCGCACCCCACCAATAACAGTTCAATTTTTTTCACTCATTCACCGTAAATGAATTTCAGTCCGCCACGATGATGTTCAAGGCTCAGTCTCGTTGGTAGCTTTTCTGTAGATTAATGAATTATTGTCAAACATTGTTACATAAATTTTTGAGCTCAACCTAATGTCTGCAACAAGAGATGTGATCATCGTATAATAAATGTTACTCCAGACTCCAAAGCATAATATGTGGAATATTGAAAAGTAAATGTTGAAGTCTATAAGTTAGTATAAGAGGATGTGGTTTTGTTACCAATTATTCGCTGAGTTTAATAAAACTCAGCGAATAATGGAATACAGCTCTAACAAATATATAAATTGTAGTTCGATGACAACGTTGTTAATCTCTCAAATAGGTTATCACACGTTCAAGTCTCATCTCAATACAATTTGAAACGCATTATTATGAGCAAATACTAAAGCAAGTTTAAAAGTGTTGTCTAAATTCCAAAAGAGAACTTTAAGTTTATTTTCCCTTAATAGGACGAAAGATTACACTTTTACTTCTAATTTAATTAAAACCCCACATGTCTCTGTCTCCTTCTGCAATTCACCGCAACACTCTCGACTGAACGACTGCAATTCATCGCAGCACATCCCTTCCTCCCATGGACTGCAACTCCACCATCCACCATGGCCTCGCATCGTAGCTCCGTCGTCGACCGCAGCCCTACACTGAATGATGACTAGGTAGATAATCTCCTCCTCCTCTTTCTCCTTTTCTCCCTCCAGTCCTCTTAAATTCCAGGTTCTCTTCTTTGTATTTTTTGGATTTGAATTTTATTTATTAATTTGGATATTTTGGATTTGAATTTTATTTACTCGGCAAAATGTCACTTTTATAATATGAGAATGTCAAAATTATTGGTTATTTGAAAAAAGATGTCACGTTTGTGGCAGTACATTTATCAGGATCCCACTTAAAAATGAATAAAAATTCTCCATCTCTCTAAAATTCTAGTTTCTTCTTGAGTTCAACTATGGAACTTCGGCACCCACCACGTCGGAATAACTATTTGCCTCTCGATGATGAGTACTACTACTATCCAAGGAAACGTTTCTACGAATCCAACAGCTTCGACCGGAATAGCGGAGATAGCTATCAACTGCCTAAAGGGAATATGAAACTCCAGTCACGGCCAACATTTAGCAGACTCCCGACGAGAGCAACCTCATCTACAGCAGGCACTTGCTTCCAAAAACCACAGATATCTCATCACTGGCATAGAGCCAGATTCTATCCAAATAGCACCAACGAGACTCCTGCTCATCGCGTAAAGCACTACACTCAAAACGATTACAGCCTACCATCCCAATACACAACTGTGCACCAATCAATATTTGCTCTCAAAAAAGGTCTGAGCCTATTAAAAGAAAAGGAAGGTCGCTCTCCGATCTACGGCCTGGGGAAACAGATGAAGGATGGCAGACGGTCACCTATCGGGGACGATGCAAATTATTTCCTCCCAATCAGAGATATTCGCCGACTCAAAGCTGTTACCCAGAAAATGACAGGTATGCCTCCCGACGACTCCCGAGTAGGGCTAATCGTTTCCACCGTCTGTCTTTTGAAGATGACGATCTTATCTCAACCATACCTTTCGAATGCGACCTCGAATCAGATAAATCGTCCGATTTTGGACTCAATATGAGAACTAACCGACCTCAAAACAAAAAAGGGGAAAATAATTTGTCGCCTCTGCGGCGATAAACCACCAAAACATGGAGGCGGGTGCAGAAAGGAGAAACCCAATTTGGACGGCCCATCCTGCTCAGCGCCAGGTCCAGCGGCCGACACCCCCCACTCCGACAACCCGTACCTCGCAGAGACACAGAGGCCAGTGTCTGTCCAAAGCCTCACATGGGTTGAAGTCGTACGGTCCAATTCGG